CCTTCTCTAACAAATGAAGATGCGTGTAAAGATTTCTAGGTACGAAAGCGTAGAGGGGAGAGATTTAAAGATGGGGACCAAAACTCAGAATTCTAGAGGGAAAATGTTCATGGTCTATCTAATACTAATCTCATTATCGTTTCTAGGTTTGATCTTAGCCTTTAAACCAATTTTTCTGCTAAAGCAAATCACTTCTCCATCGTTGGATTTACGTATCGATCTTCCTGCGCCGCAAGTCAACAGAAACCCAAGATGGCTCCGAGTCGTGCGTAACTATCTACCGGAAAAGCGAATCCGAGTCGGCTTCCTTAACATCGATGAGCATGAGCGTGAGAGCTTCGAGGCTCGTGGGCCATTGATACTTGACAATGTCCACGTGTCACTCGATCCACTCCCGGATAATGTCACTTGGAAGAGTCTCTTCCCGGAGTGGATTGACGAGGAAGGTTCTAACTGCCCGGAGATTCCTCTCCCTAAGCCGGAAGGTTCTGATGCTGACATGGACGTCATTGTTGCTAGAGTTCCGTGCGAAGGGTGGTCGGAGGATAAAGGACTAAGGGATGTTTTCAGGCTCCAGGTTAATTTGGCGGTGGCCAATCTAGCGGTCCAGAGTGGGTTAAGGAGGGTTGATCAGACGGTGTACATTGTGTTCATCGGGTCATGTGGACCCATGCATGAGATCTTCAGGTGCGACGAGCGCGTAATGCACGTGGGGGATTATTGGGTGTATAGGCCTTACATCCCGAGGTTGAAGCAAAAGCTTCTCATGCCTGTTGGTTCATGCCGCGTTGCTTCTCCATTTGCTCAACTTGGTAAATATGATTTTTTTCCCCTCCCTTCTTCATTTTTGTAGAAATATGAATTTTAAGTTTTGACCGAATGTTTTTTTTTGACTAATTAACTCTTTTTATAGTATAGGAAATAATTTCAACATTTTTATATAGATTTCATTAGTGATTATAATCATTATATGGATATATGGAATGTGCATTTCTTTTTTTCTAGTTAAGTTCTATTGGAGACGGTTTTTTTTTTTTGAACCTTTTAGTATTGTAGAGGGTTTTTGGTGGATCAATAATGCTAACCGTACTTGTTTTTAATGAAAAGTAGGTAAAAGTAATATAAACTAAGTTAATGGTTGGTGCGATTAGATCGTGCATTCGTGCTGCACAGTATAGATTTTCTAAATTAATTTATAATCATGTTTATTTTTTTGACGTAATCTTAACATTGTTTCTTTTGCATATTTAAATAGTACAATGATAATTAATTTCATCCAAATAAAAACCTTTTGTGTCCGATAGCTATCTCAACCTAAAATTCTTTCTTTTCCTGCTTTAAGAATTATGGACGTGGATCACAAACCAAACTTTCAACTTCAAATTGAAGTTTAAGTTTGGATCAGATTATTGATTAACACGCCTGAATTGTGTTCTATAAAAGTGGCTCTTTGTTGAAAACTTTAAAAAAATATTTATTGCAAAAAATCTAATAATTTATGTGGTCAGTAATATTTGTTTTTTCATGAAAAATCATGCAATCATTCATTATAGACTAAAGAGAGTACGTATA